TAAATAAATAAAGGGGGCTGGGGGAGAGGCTCAAGTGTTAGAGTACTTGCCTAGCCAGTGAGGTCTGAGTTCAAACCCCAGTACCATCAAAAAAAAAAAAAAAAAGGCAAAAAACAGCATTGTTAAATCACACTTTAAAAGTAACACATCCTCAATATTTTCAGATATGCAGTGTTCAAGTTCTCTATAGCATAAACATTTTTAAGTTAACTTCTTGGATTCAGGATTCATTTCATTCACATGTCACTTAAGTCTGGTAATCTGTAAACCTGCCCCCTACTCAGTGCTATGCCCCTATTTATCCTATGAATTTTCTCATGTTCCAGATTTTGCTGACCGTCTTCTTATGGAGGTATTACATAGGTCCTCTGTCATCTCTTTTTGTGATGTTAGCAGCATTTGATAGCTTTGCCTAGACCCACTATTTCACAAGGCTTCAAATAATTCAGCTCACAATATATTTTATTTATATCTTTCCTTGGACTATGAGTTATTTAAAAGCATATTTCTTAATTTCTAAGCATTTAGAGATTTCCAGAATAAATACATAGAAGTTGGAAGACCTGCTGTGTGGTTTCAATCCTTTGATGTTTGTTGAGACATGCTTGTGTATATGGTCAAATTTCAAGGCTATAGCATATTCTGTCATTGTGTGCTGTTTTATGTGTTAACAAGGGCAATTTTGTTGATCCTGTTCAATTCTTTTGTATCATGACTAATTTCTACATGCTAGATTTTTATTTACCTAGAAAAGGCTTTTAAAATCTCTCATAAACTTTCCTATGTAATAGCAATGAACACATAAAATTTGAAATTCGAAACACATTACTGTTTACATTGGCACCCACACACTGAAATACTTAGGTATAAATCTAACAAAATATGTACAAGATCTATGTGAGAAAAACTATAAAACTCTAATGAAAGAAATCAAAGAAAAACTAAATAAATCAAGAGATATTCCACGGATATTCATTGAAAGACAATATTGCCAGGATATCAGTTATTCCGATCTACAGATTCAATGCAATCCCAATCAAAATCCCCCAAGATACTATGTGTATTATTAACAAACTGATATGAAAGTTTATAGACAAAAGATCCAGAATTACCAATTCAATTTTGAAGATCAAAGTCAGATGACACTGCTTGACTTCAAGACTTACTATACAGCAACAGTAATCAAGACAGTATGGTATTAGTGAAAGAATGTATCAATGGAACACAGCAGGCAGTGCAGAAGTAGATATGCAAAAAGCAAAGGAAATACAATGGCACAAATGTAGCGTTGTTCTCAAAAACTGCTGCTGGACCAGCTGCACATCTGTATGCAAAAAACACGAGGAAGGAAGACAGAAACCAGAAAGAGAGAAAGAGGAAAAAAGAAGAAAGAAAGAGAGAGAGAGAGAGAGAGAGAGAGAGAGAGAGAGAGAGAGAGAGAGTGAGAAAGAAAGAAAGAAAGAAAGAAAGAAAGAAAGAAAGAAAGAAAGAAAGAAAAGTAGGGAAGGGAGGAAGGGAAGGAGGGGAAAGGGAGGGAGGGAGGAAGGAAGAAGGAAGGAAGGAAGGAAGGAAGGGGTCTAGGCACAGACCTAACATCAATCACATAAAGTAACTCAAAATGGATCACAGACCTAAACATAAAATGTAAAACCATAAAACTCCTAGAGGATAACAGGAAGACTGATTAGCAAGGGGTCCTCTGGGTCAGGGGCAAGGTCTGTGGGGCTGCTGTTCTGTTGGGGACCTGACTTCTTTTAACAGAGCTATTCACTGCAAATGGATCCATCTGGCTGTACACATTTTCTGGACTTTTCTGCATATGCTTTAGCTTCACAATACAAAAGGGCTTAAGAAAGACCTATGGAAACAAAATCCCTCTTACTCTCTGAGCATTTTCTGACTTCTCATGATGCATGAAACTGCAGAGGAAAACAGACAGGAACCAATGGAAGACCAAGTTCACACACCGAGGGTGGCTAAGGAATGACAGAAGACCAAGACAACCTGAGCTCAGTGACACAATCTAACAGACACACATGGCTGTGACTTTCAGCCTCTTTTCCTCTGTACTTTTTTTGGGGGTGGGGAGAAGTCAATTCCACTTTCCCTACACAGGAGGCCCAGCACACCTCTTTGATAATGTGCAGTTACCCTACTCTGCAGGAGGAGGTCCTTGCCTACAGAAATGCCTCCACACTGTTCCCTTGCCCATAGTTTTAGTTTGCTTTGGGAAATTACGTTCAAATTCAACCACTGTGACATCATTGACTACCCAGGCTTTATTAACTTTTTAAACAAAGAAAATAAAATTGAACTATTAAATAAATCAAACAATGAAGATTTGTTCATGCATGGAACAAAGCCTCAGTCCTAGCAAAGAAGTCTTATGTATGAATGTTTTTCTTTACTTTGTTAACCATAGACTTTAAAGTGAGGATATCAATTTAAAGGATAAGAAAATCAATTTCAGAAATTTTTTTGTGTGCAGTATTGGTGTTTGAACTTGGGGTCTTCACCCTGAGCCCCTCCACCAGCCCCTTTTTTGTTACGGGTTTTTTTCCTGATAGGGTCTCCTGCACTATTTGCCCCGGCTGGTTTCAAACCGCAATCCTTCTGATCTCTGCCTCTAGCGCCCAGCTTCAGGAAGCTCTTAAGGGCTAATTTAAACATGGGAGGGAATCTGCATAGCTTGTCTTCCAGCAATAAGCAGATGTCACTTTTCAGTGCTTACCATCACAAACCCAATTAGCTACACCAGCAAGGTGGTTGACTGTCGCGCATGCGCAGAGCATAGGCGAGTCTCCGCGCATCTCGCTGGTCTTGCTTGCTCATCTTTGTGTACATAAGAACTAAAGACGGCTGGAAATTTAGCACATCGTACCAGAGAACACTTAACATTTTTTCAAGAGGTAAATGTTAGAGGAGCTTTTTCCATTGGTGTATTTCACTCAGAAAGTGTATTCCTATTGGCCACAGGAAAAGAGGTCACCATGACCTCAGTAGTGTTTTAAAAGATCTCAAAGAGCCTATGGTACCATGGGCTTTCCCTCTGTCAGGTAAAAATTACAGCTGTCACCTTTTTTTGTGTGTTATGTTCTCTGTGTACCAGTGTTTCGGCTCCTTATTAAGACAGCAAGGAATTTCCATCAAGGTATTGTCTGCATTATGTAACCACACCACCTTACATAACAAACCCATCCTGTCCCTTAAGAGACACCAACAAACCAGTTAGGGTTAGCTCTGGGACTCGTCAGCTTGGATAACCATGCTCTGAACATTTGCTGATATTAAAAATGTTCTAGATGGTCTTTTGTTTTCAGAAATGTTTCACATGAGTTTTTAGATTTCTTGAAAGTCAAACCAAGGATATAAAGTAGAGCTCTTTTATTCCCATTTGCTATTTTGTTCTTGTTTCTCCTTTCACTATTCTTGAAATTACAGGCCTCATCAATCCACACCTTTTATATTACGAAAAGACTAGAAGAAAGAGTATGACAAAGTCACCACACACTGTCCAAACTATAATTTGGAGAATCTGAAATAATTCTCACCTAATGAGCTAGCACTGTCAGCCTGGCAAAGCCCTGGCACTCAGTCAATAAATACAGTTGTCACCATGCGACAAAGGGAGCAGGCATCAGCCGAGATGCCCAGACTTTGGAAGAATGATTCCTAGTATTCCAGTTGCTGAACACATGACAGCAATATTGGTAAACCAGGACCCTCAGCAATTCACATAGTAATCAAGTGTGATATTTTCCTATGTCTACCTTCTGAATAGTGAAGAAATGGGAAACACCTTCCCAACTCAGAGATAACTTGTAAGTTGGGTAGAAACAGGATAGTTCAGATGGCATTTAAAGATAATATATAGTGAGGGGTGTGCTAAAAAAAGTCTTTGGTTACATTATCTCTTTTGTAGAAAAATCAGAATTGTTTTATGATGAATTCACTTAAAGCAGGTACTTTGCAGCAGCAAAGGCAAGAAGTATGTTTTTGAGACAACCAACAAATAATTGCAAATCATGGCTATTTAAGCCAATGAAGAAACCAAGGGGGAACAAGTCATTTATTTTCTAGAGATGGGATGACTGTGCTATCTAAACCGTAATGGCATGAGTTTTAGAACAAATATCTGCTATGGATAATGTCATGTATACTTCCTAAACTGCTAACCTTGGTATGAAAGAGCAGGTAAAGTGTGGTAGCCACTAACACTTATATTTGCTTCATCCTTCTACCACTGGAAACCAAGGCCAATTTCCCAAAGTGAAGTCTAATTTTCTGGAATCTGCCTCATCCAAAATTCTAAACTATGAGAGGCAAGCACAATAACTGAGAGAACCCCTACTTCCCCAAAAACTGTCATCAATGTTTAGGACCTGGATTTCTTTAAACTAAGTGAAAAACACTCAATTCTTTCCTTTAAAAATACTGAGTTAAGGCTGAGTGCTAGTGACTGACATAGTTTGAGGCCAGCCAGGCCAAACAGCTTGCAAGATCCCACCTCAAAAATACCCAACACAAAAAAGGGCTGGTGGAGTGGCTTAACTTTAGGTAAAGTGCCTGCCTAGCAAACATGAGGCCCTGAGTTCAAGCCCTAGTACCACACAAAAGAAAATGTTGTTATATTATTAAAAAGATTAATAAAATTATTCTTATTTATTCAAAACTTAAGAGCTACTTGTTATTGTAACTTTGCTTATTTTCTTTGGGAGGATGAATTATAATCCCTTTAGGTTTTCCAATGTGGATTTCCCTACAGAATCCAAAGTCAAGTTATTATATTTTCTTAAGAAAAAGAAAAAAACCATCCTTTTTGTTGGGCCCTTAAACATACATATGAAAACTGAAATTTCAAAGCAAGGGTCATGAACTTGTACTTGCTATAATAAAAAGGAATATAAAAAAGGCTAATATTTACAGGATTTTGTGTGTGATAAAAGAACTGGAGTCTGAGGTATTTGGAAGGGAGAAAAATTCCACAAGCAAGACAGACATCCAAAATGGCTCAACATAATTTATTTTTTTATGTTAAAATGTACAGAGAGTTCTTTTGAAAGTACTTGCTAGAAAGGGGAAAAAAAAGATATTACATACAAGGAGAGGAAGGGAGGCCAACTGGCCAGGAGCGCATGACATGGAGAAATACAAAGGCATCTAGGCACCCCTTCCCCTTAGCTTACAAGTCACCAGGAACAAAGTACAAAGAGGTTACAAAACAGGAAAAGCAAATATAAACACAGGAATAGACTTAGCTTCATTTGTACATGCGGCTTTTAGAGGCATCTGGAGCTCTATTCACACACTCTAGAGATCTCTTTAAAGAGAATTTTAATTTTTCTTAAAATAGTTTTTAATATTCTACAACAAAGATAAAAAATTTTAAAGATGGAATGAAATGAAAAAGCTCTTATTTTAAAAGGCATCAAAGTCACTAACAGTGAGTTTTTAAATTTCTTTTTTAGAAGATTACCCAAGTTATCTTGCTAAAAATACATTTTATTTAAAACAGAAGTGAAAAAATGACAGGTACCAATATTACTGTGTTGGATAATTTCTTTTATAATATAGAAAAGAACGTATTTTTCTACAATAGTTCTACAGTCACAAAGAGGCTGTGGAAAAGGGAGCTGCCCGATTGATTTTTTTTTTTTTTAAAAGAAACAAACAAACCAAACACAACCGCAAACAAACAGAAAGTGAATTCACGGCCCTCATTTCAACAGCTTCTTCTGCCTTGACCCACCCTCCTCCCAAGAGACCTCCCTCCCCCTCCCCACCCATCCCTGCCCCATCCCATCCAGGAAGCAATGACACAGCTGAAGATGTAGGGAGAGGGCAGCACAGTGCACTTTCTACAGAGATGACTGGGAACTGGAATAGTATATACAGAGAAACCGGGTCCTACACAGCCTTGCAACACGCTCAGAGTTGATAGTGGTAAGGTGTGGAATTGTCTTTTTCTATCTAACACACTTAATTGAAAAAGTCAATTAAAGTGTATAAAAAAACCAACAAACCTGTGCATTTGAAAATTTAATGCCTAATTAGTACTTTAAAAATTTATTTATATAAAATGTACAAATAAAGGAGAATTTATGCTTACAGGTTATTTCTTTAAGCAGTACTTCCCCCTTTTGGATATTTGACTGCACATACCAAGTGGTATAATAGTTTCCATCTTCTAATGATGGAATATATATATATATATATAATTTTTTTACCTATCCCTGGAGCAAGTAATAGGAAGAGAATGGGCGAACTGGTTGCACAAGAGAAAAAAAGAGACTGGATTGGGAGTAATATATGGACCTGCTCAAGTCGTGCTGTCCAGATTGCCCTATTCTGCTGGTGGTGGATCTCTCCCTCCTCATTAGCCACTTGCAGGAGAGGGGCTGGTGCACTCTGATTCACAGGGGTGAACTCAGGATCTCAAGACAAACGAAAACTAGAGGTATGGGTCATTTAAGTAGCTATAAAACTCACACCACAGTCTCCCTCCGGAAACATTCTGTGTCACCTCTCCAGTGTAAGATCAACAGGTCAAAGCTTTGTCAGGCATTTTCCAAACCACTGAAACACAGTCATCCACCAACACTATATGAAAGAATGTGAGAGGCAAAATCACTGGGGACTGCTCTTTTTAGATTTATCAGAGTTAAAGGCTCAAAAATCAAGACCCTTAGTTAGCATTTCAAAGTACATACTAAAAACAAGAGGCCAGGTGGAATATGCATGTTATGGCTGATTCACCAGGTGGTAAAAAAACAAGAGGTTCACTTCCTCTTCTTGATTGTAAATTGACCATCTCTATCCCTCCAAAGGCTAGATTAGGATTGCAAATAGCTTTCCTCTGAGATTCTGCTGTTAAGTGAGACTTACAGTATTTTTGTGTCTCTGAGTGCTGAGTGGGAATATTAAAAAAAAAAAAAAGGATTATATCACACTTGATTCAAGAAAATCAAAGATTTCAATGAAGTCTGCCCATAAAGAAATATTCTTGGGGAAAGGTTTTAAGAGGTGTATGTGTGTGTGTCTGTGTGTGTGTGTCTGTGTGTATATAGGGAGTGGAGGAGATTTTAAAAGGAGAAGCACTTCCTGCCTCACTTTATTAATAATAATAATAATAATTATAATAATAATATTAACAATAAGAATAAGTTTAAGGAGCTTGGGTTGTTCTCCATGTCCCCGTCCGAGTCTCCCCTAAGTGCCTCCTGCTGGAATGAAGTAGGAAATGAAAGGCTGGGTTTGGAGGAAAGGGTCTGGTTGACCCTCGAGATGTATATAAAACATTTAAAAATGACAACATTGGGAGCTGCAAACAGTGGAGGGGAAACATACATTTTAAAATAAAATAAATTCACTTTACATAAATTCTGTCCACGTGGTATGTAAAGAAAGTAAGGCTCTTTTTAATTATGAAAAGATTTTGTGCATGTTTCCCCTATCCCCAAATCCATTTTTAGATGAGTTCTACTGTAAAATGTTCAAGATTGTGAAGAAAACCAAAGCCCAGAACAAAACTGAACCCAAAAGAAGAGATCAGGTTTTCTAAAAGATAAAATAAACCAAAGAAAAATTCCTCTAAGTCTACAGCAATATTTTAACTGGAAAAAAGGTCCATTTTTCTCTGGTTTGTCAGTATAAAAGGTTCCTTTATTATATATATTTAAGTTTTTAACTGCAAGTTCATCTTGCTCATCTTCTCATGTAAGGTCCATTGAGTGACTGCTTGGGCACACCAGCAGCATTCATGTAGCTGTGATGGGAGGGGCCAGTGTACATCATGTTTCCATGAGGGTTTGGCTGCATAGGCTGCTGGGTATAGGCCTGGCTCCCCATCATTCCCATCTGCATCTGCATAGGATACTGTGCTGTCTGGTTCATGTAGGCAGGGTTACTGTGGTAACTGCTGTTCATCATGGGCTGTGTCATTCGATAGCTGTTCATGGCATTCAAGGTGTTCATATTCATGGAATTGACATTATAGGCAGGAGTTGGCATTAAATTAACCCCCATGTTCATGCCGCGCTGAACAGCCAATGCGCGAGGACCAGCCTGCATGGCAACTGCTGGCGGGCTACGGCCATACAGCTGCTGCTGGTGCGCAGCTGCAGAGGGCAGTGGTGCAGACTTGGAGCGGATGGAGATGTGCCCCTTGACTGGCATCTGCCCTTGCAACCTCTGAGTGTGAGGAATACCGATGTTGGTGGCAGACATGTTGCACTGTAGCAGAGGTGATGTGAGGTTCATGGTGGTGGATGCCAAGTTGGGGGGCGGTGTCATGGTGGCTTGTGCTTGAGGGGTCCCAGCTAAGGGATGAGATGAAGCTAGCTGAGCCAGTCCTGTATTAGACAAAGACACACTGGTTGCATAGGAAGTCACAGCAGGAGAATGGCTATAAGGCATGGCATGAGGCTCCATAATGGTGTTGGTCAGCTGCTGCAACTTGGCTAAACTGAAGGTGGCTGATGGTTGAGAGTAACTGCCAGCGCCAAAGTCCCCTGGAATCCTCTCATAGATACTTATGTTCCCCGTGCTCCCAGATTCTGGGATCTCCATAATCATAGGCGCTGGAGTGAAGGTGTTATTCATGCTACACTGTGACAGTGGGGGCTGCTGCTGGGGCGGGGGTGGGGGCTGAGGCTGCTGTGGCTGTGGCTGTGGCTGTGGCGGCTGCTGTGGTGGTGGCTGCGGCTGGGGTGGGGGAGGCTGTGGTGCTGGCTGCTGCTGCTGCTGCTGGGGCTGGGGCTGCGGCTGTTGTGGTGGTGGCGGTGGTGGCTGCTGGTTACTGGGAGGCCTCTCCACCACACAGCTCTGAGGTGACTTGATATTGCAGTTGGTAGCAGACTGGACAGTGCTCTGCTGCATCATACTGCAGCTGCTGCCCATGTTCGCCATTTGCTGAGTGACAACACAACTGTTCTGGGTGAGACTGCTGGAGGACGACAACCCACCGTAAGAGCAGCTGCTCTGAGAGGAGTTATTCCCACAGATGCTGCTGCCCATTGTGGAATCATAGCTGCTTGGGTTCTCGTAGTTCTCTGTGGTGCTCTCGATGCTGCCCAGATCACTGAAGCCACTGTCTACCACCTGCTGAGAGTGGTCTGATACGGAAGGCACATCCATCATGGGGCTGGTCTCCATGTTCTGCATAGAGGGTGCGGACAGGGATCCTTGTTCTGGGCTGATCTGTGTATAGCCATTCTCCAGGGCAGGCACGGTGGGACTGCTAACCGAACGGACAGACTGGCTGGGATGGGACTGAACTGAAGATATTGGGCTATTGTGTTCTGAAGCATGGCAGTCTTCAACCATTGACATCGGAGGGTCATCATCGGCCTGAGTGTAACTCTGCAGGGTCTGACAAGCCGCAAGAGTTTCTTCACAGTCCTGGTAGGCTCCCTCATGCTCATTGCTTTCTTCTTGAGTCAAAGACTGCACTGCTTGTACAGTTTCCAGATCAAGTTCACTGTGAGGAATCTCTTCTTCCTCTTTTAATTCAATTAATTCTTCCTTAGTGTTTGAATCTTCTTCGTGATCATCCTCAGACCCTGGCATATGCTCTGATACCACAGATGTCTCATGGGAAGGCTGCTCCTCTTCAGAATCTGGTTCTGTTTCATCTTTATCCTTTATATTCTCCATACTGTTCTGCATGTTAGTATCTAAAAAAGACTCCTGACTGCCAGGCTCCTCCTTGACATCTTCTCCAATGGGTTGCTCTTCTGGCTCCTTTTTCTTTGCAGATTCCAGGTGGCCATCATCTTCATCATCTGCATCATGGTCTTCATTCTGGTTTGTCTCCACAGTCACGTCATCTTCTTCCTCTTGCTCCTGCTCTTCCAGCTCTTGTGGCTCTTCTTCTGACTGCCTCTGCTCTTCTAAGACGCCATGAGGCTTTTCTTCCTCCTCCTCTGCCTCTGGTTCTTTTGTTTCAGCCTCAGGGCTGTTGCTGCTGCCCACTGGAGAAGTGGCTCTAACTTCACTGCCAGTTGTGTCCTCGTCCTCTCCCTCTTCAACTTCGTCTGCTTCCACATGCATCTCTTCCTCCTTCCTTTCCTCTGATGAGAGGAAGTCCTCTTTTGAGTCGATGGTTTCTTCATTCTCTTGGGATCTGGGTTTACGTCCAGGTTTAGGAATGGGGACAATGGGCTCAACAATGCATTCTTGAGTAGAAACGGCTGTGATTTCCTGATTTAACTTAAATCCTGGTTTTCGTCCAGGTCTCTTCTTCCAGTGAATTGGTTTGCGGCTTTTGCCTTTGGGCCATCCCTTTTTCTTTTTCATAGGTGTTGATGTATCTGGCTCCAGTGAAGAACTGTTCATATCACATTTTCGTAACAGTGACACTGGCTTTAGGATAGGAGTGTCTATACAGAAGGGATTAAAAAAAAATAAAGATAGGTTACAAGATCTTACAATTCTAGTAGGTTTTTTTTTTTTTGAGACCAGCATGTACAATAGAAATGATTTTATTAACTATCACTTTATTAAGTGCTTCTTGATTATTTTCATAATCTAAAGGATAAAGCTAATTAACGACATCTTCTAAAGCCACACAGTGAATTGGAAGAATAATGAAAGCACCCTGGCAAACACTATACACTAGTTAAAACCAGTTCAAGTGTATCCAAACTGTATAGCTTTGGGAAGTTACCTTGAGTTTCCACTTCATTGTCTACAAAATGGAAATAAACATTAAAACATACAAATAACAAGTTGTAAGTAGTACTCTTATCAAGTTGTCCTTATATTTATAGCATAACCATGTAAGTCACCCATCAGCCTTTTTTTTTCCTGTTTGCAACTTATGTTATCTCTAGTTTCTTAGCTTGCAGAAAATCATTACTTCAGGTAGTATCATAGCTAATTCCTGCAGACCATGACTGATCTGTCCTATATAAACAATTAATTGTTCATAACTTTTTTTGGAGGGGGAGTACTAGGGTTTGAACTCAGGGCCTTGTGTTTACTAGGCAGGTGCTCTATCACTTGAGCCATGCCCCCCCAGCCCACAATGATTCAATTAAAGTTGTGTTTACATGGAAATAGCTGCAAGTTATTCAGTCTTAGACAAGTGGATGTTTAGTCTGAAGCAAATAAGAAAAAGTTGAAGCACCAGTAATCGTATAGTAGAAATTAATTTGATATAAGCATTATTTTTTCTAAATTGTGGTGATATATACCTAACATAAAACTTATCTTAACCATTCTTTAGTGCCCAGTTCAGTAGCACTAAGGACATCTTCAGTCCCTGTTAGTTTTTACAGGTTAAAAACACCAAGAACAAAACAGGGGTTTGGGAGGGGAATTACAAAGGCAGAGTTAGTGGTAGTAACTTCAGAGTACACAAAGGCAATGGCTATATCAGAAAAAATTGTACCAGCTGACAGGAACTGAAACATGGGACACTACTGTTGAATGCAGTGATCCAAATCACCAAATTTGCATTTTTAGGTTCCTAGTTATACATCTCAAAATATATCATGAGTAAAACTCTGGTCAATCATTCACAATAAAGTAAAGAATTCAGTTATCTCATTACCGCATGAAAAGTACTCGTTAAATAAGAATGAAGAAAACAGCTAAGAATGGAGGCATGTCTCTGTAATCTCAGCACACAGGAGGCTAAGGCAGGAAGATCACAAGTTCAAGATCAACCTGGGTTGCAATGCTGTCTTAAAAACAAAAAGAGGAAAAAAATGCAAGTCTTATCTACTAGATTTGAAATCAAGGTTTTAAAAGTGACAGATTGCAGTGGCTCTAGTCTATAATCCTAGCTACTTGGTAGTCAGATATCCACAGGATTGTGGTACGAGGCCAGCTTGAGCAAAAAGTTCTTGAGACCCATCTCAACCAATGATGGGGCATGGTGAATCTGCCTGTCATCCCAACTATGTGGGGAAGCACAACTAGGAGGACTGTGGTCTGTGCATAAAGAAATATCCTATCTCTCAAAATTAACCAATGCAAAAAGGGCTGGGGGAGTGACTCAAGCTGTAGAGTACCTGCCTAGCAAATGTGAAGCCCTGAGTTCAATCCCTAGTACTGTGCACCCCCCTCCAAAAAAAAAAAAAAAAAAAGATTTTAAAAGTAAAGGGGAAAAAAAAAGGTAGAATAAAGATCAGACAGTTGGTGGTTCACACACCTGTAATCTTAACTACTTGGAAGGCTGAGATAAGGAGGATCACAGTTTGAGGTCAGCCCAGGCAAACAGTTCAGAAGACCCCATCTCCAAAATAACCAGAGCAAAATGGACTGGAGGTGTGGCTAAAGTGGTAGAGTACCAGTTTTGCAAGTGTGAAGCCCTGAGTTCAAACCCCAGTCCCACCAAAAAAAAAAGTCAGGTATAGTGGTGCATGCATAACCCTCAGCTATTTGGGAGGCAACAGATAGTAAGATCTTGGGCACAAAAAGCTATCTTAAAAAAAAAAATCTAAAACAAAAAGGGTTTGTGGCTCAAGTGAGGTCCTGAGTTCAAACTCTAGTATTGAAAAAAAAAAAAGTAGCGTAAAAGTTCAATTAATTAAGGCAAAGATTTATGTAGCAAGGGTGGACAACTGGATTTTTTCAATGTCACCCAGGCAAAGTAAAAAAAAATAAGTAAATAAGCTCAGTTTGAGCCTGTGCAAGGCAGGCAGCAGACAATGGAGATGTAGATAGCATGACAATGGCAAAAAGTGTAGGCTAGGATGCAAAAGCCTACTTTCTGAGTAGCTTACATTCTAAGCCCTAGTGTCTTTGTAAAGAAATGAAAACAAGGCTATTTTTGAAAGAAAGTAATTGGATTTTTAGCTATATCATAAAATTTAACTTATTTTGAGTTATTGTTACCACTTATTACAAATGTATTACCAGTTGTACTACCTCTAATCCTGGCACTGGGGAGGCTGAAGCAGGAGAATTTAGAGTTCAAGACCAGCCTGGGTTACACAGTGAGATTCTATCTCAAAAGACAAAACAACAAAAAGAAATGTACTGCTAGTCAGGAAGTGTGAAGCAAATTCCAACCCACATGAATGTTGTCTTAATAAAGAGGTGTCTTCTTAGTGTTCATTCTTTTAAAAATATTTACTGAGTACCTATCTTAAGGACTCAGCAAACAGCAATGAGCAAAACAAACTAAGTCCAGAGAATACACATTCTGGTAAATGGTTAGTCTATCTTTCCATCCAATGCCAAGTCCAGTTCACCCATTAACTAAGGATTCAGATAAATGCCAAAAAAGGAGTAGGGGGTGATGGAGTGGCTCAAGTGTAAGCGTGCCTGCCTAGCAAGTGTGAGGCCCTGAATTCAAGCCCCAGTGCTGCTCTAAAAAAAAAAAAAAAAATGATTAGGCAGATTAGGTAAAAAAGAAGTTTCCTAACTGTAAGGTATTTTCTGCAGAGGCAAAAAATAGGACTTGAATTAAAGAAGAAAACTAAGTGCAAAAAGAAACACAGATATACTTGATATAACTTTTAGAGATTGCCAAACCTTCCTTTTCTGGCTTAGTGGGTCGTGTTCATTTTCAACCTTTTGTTGAAGCTATGTAGCTATTGCTGTTCTGTATTTAAAGATAATAGAAGTACAATAATTAACAGTTTTGTAAAACATACCATCAGCATCATCTGACTCATCATCTTCCTCTTCAGCTTTAGACTTCCTCTTAGAAGAGGATCGACACCTGAGAACATCCTGTGAGGACAAGCGATGGAAGTATCCTCCATGGAAGAGTTCATTTTCATCTTCTTCCTCTTCTTCTTCATCAAGCTCAAATGTGGGTTCTAATCTTGGCATTGGTCTCTCAGAGTCTGAGTCTTCAAAGGGTTCATCCAACACCTCTGTGGTCTCAGAAATAGTTTCTGTAACTACACTGCTATTGTGATGTTTGCGCTTGCGGACTCTTCTTCTTCGGTGAAGAATTGGTTTCTATTTAATAAAGAATGCAAGTATTTTATTTATAGTAGTGAATCCTATCTTTTCTACTAATAACATGAAAAAGATTTAAAACTTAATTGTTAGCACATCTAAAATGGGATGCTGTTTACCAAAGATATTTTGAATATTATTTCAAAATACTACAAGATACTACACACAAAGTATTAAGGATAGAAAGACACTGGCTTTGTTTTTTTTTTTTTTTAATACAATTTTGTGAAAGAATAGGCAGGCACATGCAAAGGGCAGCTATATAAATACCTTATTACAAGTTGGTTAAATTTAACACCCTAAAGAGTTACCTACTTCAATACTGAAATGACCTAGATGCTAGTCCCTTAACTTCCCTTCTCCTTAAGAGCAAAGAGAAATAAAAACATTTGTCATACACTACCATAAAAGTTCGCAGCTCAAAAAGGTTGTACACCATTTTCATGAACTATCTATAAAAAGTTACAGTGGAGTATAGAGATAGAGAACCGAGATGTATTTACTTGGTGTTAGTGAAATGTGGTACATTTGGCACATCTGTGGACTGAGTTGACTTAGTATCTTAAATTAATGGAATGATATCACCAGTAACAGAGATGATTTAATCTAATCCTTTCATTTTATAGAGGCTAGAAAGGTTGTAAGACTTGTATAAATCACTGTCAAATAGTCTTTTGAGTCACAGTGAATTTCTTCAAGAATGTCAAAGTACTTTGCACATGATCTCATTGGCTGTTACAATATTCTTTTTTTATAAAAGGAAACAGCATATTTGTTTTACACTATATATATATACAACATTGGGGCCAGCAGAGTGGCTCAAGTGGTATAAGTGCCTGCCTAGCAAGTGTGAGGCCCTGAGTTTCAACTCCAGTGCTGCCAAAAAAAAAAAGGAAACAAAAAACAACAAAAAGAACACAACATAAGCCCTAGGATGACAAACATACAAATTTTTCATGATAATGCAATGAATAGAAGTTACTTCAAATCTACTAGTCCTGAGAATACAATTTTCAAATTAAAAATGGCCCTGCTCCTTAGAGAAATGGCTGATTCTAGGACTGAGGTAGGAAATATATAAGATAAACCTGAAGCATCTTGAAGTGCTCAAAACAAACAGAACCCCCAAATGATGAGGTTAACGTATGACGTAGGAATGAAGCTGAAAAAGCTCTAGGTATCCAATGCTGGAACACTCTGAGCAACAATGTAAAAAGTTGCATTGTAAACTGAAGTATCAGGTCCATACTGATACAAACAAATCAACAGGCAGGAAGAACAGACAAATCTCCCAAACCAGTAATTATGCAGATGCTTTGCTCTCAGGATAACCATCCATACATATCTTGAGCATGGGCTCTGCACAGTGACTTTCTTCCATTGCAGCATGGAAAAGGAAAAAAAGGACTAAGTTGATAGCAGAGACATTGACAAGCACTACCTGGGTTAACATCAACAATGAAAAATCATACTGATGGTAAATGTCCTTGTAATTAGTTGACTGGTACTCTTAAAAATGATGTGATCAGAATGGCACTTTGCTTCTACAGTCTTCCTCTCAAAAACACATTAGTCATACCAATCAAAAGAAAGGAAAAGTCTGAGAAATTGTCACACACACACACAGACACACAAAAAGCCTAAAGACACATGACTACTAAATGACAACTGGCATGCCAAGTGGGATCCTGAACAGAAGGAGGACATTAGGGAAAACTGGAAATCGGAATACAGTATGGACTCTAGTGATAAATGCACCTATAACAGATCACTAATTATGATAAATGTGCCACACCAATATAAAAGGTTATTAATAGGGGACTGGATGTGGTATATGGGAATTCTCTGTACGTTATTTGTAATGTGTAAATTGATAAGTGTTCTTAGAAGCTTATTTATTTTTTATTTATTGGTGGTACTAGGGTTTGGTCTCAGGGTCTCACACTTGCTAGGCAGGTGAAGCCACATCCCCAGCTTTAGTTATTTTTCAGATAGGGTCTTGTGATTTTACCCAGAGCCAGCTTTGGACCATGATTCTCCCTCATGGCTGGGATCACAAGAGTGTACCAGCACACCTGGCTCACTAACATTTTGCCCAAACTGGTCCCAAACCAAAATTCTCCTGATCTCTGCCTCCTAAGTAGCTGGGATTATAGGCATGCACCACTATAACCAGACAAATGCTTATTTTAAAAACTTTTTAAAGGCCCTGCTAAGGAAAAAAGTAATTTTGTTGCTCTGAATGAAAGCTATCACCTGTAACTATAGAGTGGAGCTCATTGAGGAAGCTGACATACTTTAGTCTGGGCTGTCTGGTGCCAATGGCTAAGGTTTACACTATAGGTTGGAAGATTTCTGGCATACAGTACTCCCCACTTATCAGTGGTTTCACTTTTTTTTTTTTGTATCAGTGATCACGGTTAACCACTGTGGTATTGAATGGAAATATTAAATGGAAAAGTCCAGAAATATGCAATTTATAAGCTCTAAATGATACTGCTTTCTGAATAGTGTGATGAAATTTCACGCTATCCTGCTCCTTCCTCCTTCCTGCCCTGGACATGAGTTATACATTTGTCCAGTATATTCACGCTATGTATACCATCACCCATTAGTTGCTTAGTAGCCCTCTGGCTACCAGGTAAGATTGTTACAGTACTACAGCTTGTGTTCACGTAAACTTGATAATGGCCCCAAAGTACAAGAGTAGTGATGCTGGCATTCAGATATGCCAAAGAGAGGGGACAAGTGCTTCCTTTAAGCAAAAGGGTGAAAGTACAGTGAGATTTTTAGAGAGGCACCACGTCCACATAACTTCTGTTGTAGTGCATTGTTAGAACTGCTCTGTTTTGCTGTTACTTATCATTGATAATCTCTTACTGGGCCTGATTTGAACATCAAACCAGCAAGCTCAAAAGTATGTCTGCCCTTAAATAACCTTATGACTTCTAAGTTAATTTGCATGAACCAAAATGTCATACACATTTCAATGTTACCTGAGAAGATAAGCTATAATATATTCATGTTTAAAGTTTAAAAGAATAACATACTAAGAATTTCTAACTTTACTTTTAAAGCTGTAGAAGAAAGACACATAAAGAAATGTATTACCTTTCGCTTCAAAGTAGGTTTGGTAAGTATTGGTGGTGAGTTTGACCGAGGACTTTCTGGCTCTTCCTCCTCCTCACTACTCTCGCTGAAGCCCCTAAGGACAGTCCTGTCACCATCACTGTAACAAAGAGGTAGTCTATCATTTCCTTCTGACAATCTGCACCTCAGAGCCTCTGGGCTTTTCTTCAGCTGTCCCCGCCATAGCTCGGTGCCCTCACTTAATCTTCTCTTGGGGATGTCTGGCTTCCCATCCAGGCTTGGCTGCTCCTGAGAAGCAGACAACTGTTCTTCACTTTTGGTGTATTGTTCATGGGAGGTTTCTGATTTTTCCTCACATTCTCCATATTGTTCCTGAGGAGTTGAGGATGTCTCTTCCAAGAGCAGTTTAGAGTCTTTATCACCAAAACGTTCCTGGGTCTTTCTGCTCTTCCTTCCCCAGCGGCCCCTCCGAGATGGCTGACTGTTTGCAGGAAGACTATCACGGGGAAGGACCTGCTTGTTCAAGCGTGTAGAAGTGGCTGGAGTCATAACTTCTGGTTTCTTTTCACTTTCTATTGAAGAATAAGAATCCTGTTCTTTGTCCTCCCGAGACACAGATTTTCCTACCTGATTTTAGAAAATAAAAAAAAAGAGGTTAAAGTTTTAGTCCTGTTTGTTTACATCTACCTACTCTGCCCTTTTTAAATACTGAGATAACAAAAGGAAACAGAAGCCAGAACATGGTAACAATGCCTGTAATCCCAGCACTCAGGAGGCCAACAAGGAGTTCAAGGTCAGCCTAAGCTAAATAGTTAGACCCTGCCTTGGAAAAATAACAAAAACAAAAACAAAAAAGGAAACAGAGCTTTAAAAAGAAAATTATCATTTAATAGCGATCATGAATATGACCTAGTTGGCAGGCACTGTTTTAAATACCTTATAAGTATTATTTATTTAATCCTCACAACTGTATGAAGTATTATTAACCCTCATTTTGCAAATGAGGTAACTGAGGCGCACACACAAAAACCTTAGATAACTAACGCCAAATCACGTAACAATAAATGACAAAGCGGGAGCACAAATCTAGGCAGTCAGACTCCAGATCTTGTGTTCTTTATGCTATGAAATATCACCTTTGATATAATAGAAAATAATCACTCTTATGAACGTTAAATGAAATTGTTTGCAAAATTTTTCAGAAATAAAAAATTTATAAACAAGAAAGCACAGGCTCCTGGAGCATGGCGACAGGAGGCATTCAAAAAACATGACAGAAAATTTCTAAAATTATTCTCATTCCAAATATTTAGTTTAAACTGCACTAAAAAGGAGCATGAGTTTTTTTTTTTTTTTTTTTACAAAGGAGGGCATAAAGGATGAAAGCATGCTTTTTTATAGCGATCATGGAATATGACCTAGTTGGCAGGCACTGTTTTAATACCTATGAAGTATTATTTATTTAATCCTCACACTGTATGAAGTATTATTCCTCATTTTGCAAATGAGGTAACTGAGCGCACAACAAACCTTAGATAAACTAACGCCAATAGTTTAACAATAAAATGACAAAGCGGAGCACAATCTAAGGCAGTTCAGACTCCAGATCTTGTGTTCTTTATGCTTGATATCCCTTTGATATAATAAAATTAATCACTCTATGAACGTTAAATGAAATTGTTTGCAAAATTTTCAGAAATAAAAAATTTTAAACAAGAAGCACAGGCTCCTGGAGCATGGCGACAGGAGGCATTCAAAAAACATGACAGAAAATTTCTAAAATTATTCTCATTCCAAATATTTAGTTTAAACTGCACTAAAAAGGAGCATGAGTTTTTTTTCTTTTTTTTTTACAAAGGAGGGCATAAAGGATGAAAGCAATGCTTCAAAAGAAAAAAAGAAAAACCCAAGAAAGGTATGCATCACACAAAAAGAAATACTGAAAACTAAACAATATAGTCCATATCAACCCTTCAATGTTTAAAGACCATTATGTTCACTGAAATTTTCAGTACTCTACTGAAATCATATGCATTTCCTTAATATTCTAAGGAAAATGTATCTTCATTCCAACAACAATCATTTAGATTCGATTCAAATTCCTCAATTACTACACAGCTTAAAATTTAGCTGCCTATTTACATTCTGGTAAATATTTAGTCATAATTAATAAATGCACTGTAAGAAATCTGACGGTCTTCTAATGGTCTAAGGCTTAAAATACTCACTGGTAAGTAAGTGAGACTCAGTCTTCCTGAAATTTTTACCACTGAAATTTTAGAGTGAATTTATTTTGTTGGTAAAATATAATACATATGACGAATACTTATGAAAACCAAAAACACAGCATCTTTCATAAAAAAAGAGACTACTCATTCCCTTACACTGATCTCTGACTCTCTTTCCTGGCACTGTGGCTCTTCGCTTTCTCCTCCATCTGCCTCCTCGTCTTCCTCCTCTGAGACAACAGAGTTGGAGACTATAACAGGAGTCCAGCGTAAACATTCTGGATCTACATCCACGGCTCGCAAATTCAGCTGAAGCTTTGCCATGTGATCCTGGATAAGTTTTTCCCGGCGGATAATCACAAATCTACAACCAAAGGAAAGTTTATAGCAATCAACAAAGTACATAAAAATGAATACAGAGATCTAATTCATGAAAAAACCTGGAGATGACAATGATAAATGCTTAAAACAATAGCCTGTTAGAAAGGTGAAATATGGAAATTGGCTACCATGTGAGACAGCTGAAAAATGTGAGCTGGACACACACTTCTCACTCCACTATAACCACTGGATTACGTTATTCTAACCACTTACCGACTCATGTTTGCCATGTGTGCAATTTCCCTGCTCTCCTAAGCTCTTTCCTATTCTCTATTTATTTAGCTCAGATGCCTTTCTTTGTAGCCTTTTCCTGACCACTTTATCTAAGGGTGAACTCTGTCCTTCCTTTTAGTATAAATTTTACTTGGTACCATTTATATGAACATATTTTACTTAATGACAATTGTTTCTAGAGGAAGAGCTCCCAATACTAGGAGACAGAAGATTCAATTACTACACAGCTTAAAATTTAGCTGCCTATTTACATTCTGGTAAATATTTAGTTATAATTAATAAATACACTGTAAGAAATATGATGGTCTTCTAATGGTCTAAGGCTTAAAAAACACACTGGTAAGTAAATGAGACTCAGTCTTCGTGAAATTTCTACCACTGAATAAAACTGAAGATTCAGTGGCTTAGGTCCAAAAGTTAGAAAGAAGACCATTAAACTCAAATACTATAGAAAGAAAATTGTTACCTCAGCACTACCAAGTATACCACTCATATTAGTCACTTCTCGTTCATCAATAATCTGGCTGCCTGATCCCAAAAGGTGCACCTAAGTTACCTTTAAAAAGGTGTGCAAAGGGATGTGATACTCACTGGTCACTACGAAAGTCCAGCATTCGTAGATGGTGGAGTGTGGAAGTAATGTCTTGAGGGCAGATTCCAGTCAATTTGCTTAACTTCTTAATACTGATTTGTTTGTCATTTTGGTGATAAAGGCACTCCAATATTACACTTTTCCAATAGGCCATGTAGGAAAGACGACCTAGATCTGATAATGGTTTCTCGGGAGATCCTGCTTGGCCTTCGCGCTTTGATAACAAATAACCTAAAGAAACCCCCATATTACAAATGTCAGAGACCCTAAAAAAGTCTGATTCACAAAAACGATGTTCTTTTGTACACCAATCTAAGTATTACAGGCAATAGTAATTTCAAAGGTAAATTCCTTCAAAAAAATGGAGAATTTACAAACCACTTTAAAACAATGGAGATTACACAATTTTATATATTGTATTTTAGGTTAATATTATTTTGTCTTAGCCAATAAAAATCACTTTGTTAAAACATTCAAGTTGCTAAAAATCAGGACTTCCTTCAACAAGTTGTGTTAGTAAGACTAAAGCAACAATGTTTTTTATTTCCACATAGTATGGATAGAGAAAAAAAACCTTGCATGTTTTATTTGGACCACTAGAGGGAGACTACTATCTCCACTATGATCTTCTGTATTGAGAAATACAAAAGAATGCCTTAGTTTTTGTGTAATCCTAGTAAGACTGCGGTTCTTTCTGAGAGCAAACTGATGTGAATTTCTTACTATAACCAAGGTGCTCCTTACAAATGCCTATCATTCTAATTCCTGTCAACCAAGACCGTCAACATGAGCCTGAATGTCAGTGAGTGGATAGTGGAATTACCCTGGCCTCTGGTCATTACATAACTTTTACAAACTAGTGGGGAGAAAGAAACGCATAAATTCTAAGAGAAAAGAATAAAAAATGGAGACAGCAGGAAAGCTGTAGGCTGTCATTAATGAGTATTTAAGATGTGTGCGGTGACTCAATCTTGTAACCCTAGACACCGGAGATATGATCAAGATAATCAGAGTTCAAGGCCAGTCTAGGCAAAAAGTCTGAGACCCCATTAACCAATGGCTGGGCCAGGTGGCATATACCTGTCATTCTAGCTAAGCAGGGAAGCACCAACAGGAAGCTTTGGTCCAGGCTGACCTCGGCATAAAAAAAGGCCCTATCTCAAAAATAACCAAAGCAAAAAGGGCTGGGGATGTGGCTGAAGTGGTAGCACAACTGCCTAACACGCACAAAAGAACAAGATCCTGAGTTCAACTCCCAGTACCACTAAAAAAAATAAAAAAATAAATATATTTAAAACCAGCCTAAGAATGGTAACCAGATAAAAACATTATGAAAAGTAAATTAAAATAAATACTGTAATCATATAGTTTTTACTATATACCTCTATATAAAATATAAATATAGTATATAAATATAGTATAAAAATATAGTATAAAAAATATAGTATAAAATATACTATAAAAAATTTCTCTAACTTTGTCATTAAATGGTATTTGATATATACCATTCATGAGGCCTATTTTGAAATATATTAGATTAAAGGAAATAATCTGAGTTCTATCCCCTTATTGCTGTTCAAAAAGGCCAAGAAAATGTACAAAACAACCAGTAGCACATATGTCCAGCAAGACTGGTCAGGAGTATAATGGAAAATCAAGTTGTTCAGATGAGAATGAATTTCTCACTATTTTTGCACATATACCTTTAAATAGCATGTAGGGATAGCTGGGGGGGAAATAGTCCTTCAAATTACTATTTTACAATCATAAAATTTACTTCAAACATGCACTTAACTTTCAAGCAAGATAATCAGTATGTGAAATAGAATGCAACTTCCACAATGACCTCTTTAGAACTTTCATCTTTTTTAACTCAAATTATTTCCTATGTCACCTACTTTTTAGAATAAAGTTGTGTTGCATATTTTTAACCACTAGGTAAAGGCTGTAACTAAAAAATGCACATAAAAGGGCAGGTGCTATTCTTTTTATCAGCACTAATTTAAGTAGCTATACATTTTCAGTATTGCTGTGAATTAGTATTACTGCATAAAACCAAGTTGCAATGTAAATTAACTGTAGCAAATAAAAGGCATTTACTACAGATCACACAAAAAATTATCATTAATATTACTATTTAAAAATATTTTGTGCCCAACCAAAAGAAAAAGGACTTACAGCTTTAAGTTTTAAAAGGCCTGTCCAACAATATGACAAGAGATACCAGGAGCCAAAACATCATCACAAAATGTATAAATATACATATCCCAAAGGTCTGAAGGAAGCGCTAATGAGAAAGTATGTTAATAAAATCCTTACTGAAATCGATGAGAAACCTGCCATAGCCCTTACGCTGGTACTGGGGAAGAATCATTATACAGGAAACGTTGTATTTCTGTTGGCAGTGCTTTTCCTGGTGGAGAAAACAAAAGCCAACTTTTAAAACGGGCTGGTAAAAGTGAATAGTAATACTAATTATTAAAAAACAAAGACTACTAGCTAAAACCACAGCCCTGGTCCTTTGGGAACAGGAATGTACATCAAGGAAATGGGAAAAAAAAATAGCCCAGTGGAAGAAAACAGAACAATGTTAAGTCACTGCCTCTAACCACAAAGCAACCACCCCAGGAGAGTAAAAACAAAATAGAATGATGCCACCCAACACCACCTGCAACTGAAACCATTATGCTAATGCCTAAGATCCTAAAATCAGCGGAGGAATCTAAACCTCAAAAATCTACAAGGCCACAAATGGTGGATCAATGCAGCACTCTAGAAGTCAGAACATTCACCAACTATTTCAAAGTTTTCTTTACTTTCTGCTATGGTTAACACAGAGCAGTTCCTTTACCCAAAATAGTCCTGAATATGGGGTACAGATACAAATTACTCAATCTATTTTAAATTATTTTTAGTCCATAAAAAACTTTTATATAGTTAGTTCTTTCCACTGACCCATTTTATACACTTAAGACTTTATGTTGGGGTTGCTTAAATAAAAATACATCTTTTATGTTGTTGTACTAGAAACTATTTTTCCCTTCAGAGAATGGAACATGCAGGAAAAAAAATATTCTTTAATAAAAATGCTTCTTACCCTTATTTCTATGCCTAAAAATCCAAATTAGGAAGAGAAGAAGTAAGCTGAGAAACAGCTCAGGGAGGTAATGATTGTGTTTATTTCACAAGTTCTGTCTATCATCACCATGGGAATAGAAGTCATTTAAAAACTTTTCCTCTTGAGTATTACTAGCAGTGCATATTCCTAGGAGAATATGGTCTGTTGAATGTTACTAAGCACATTCTAGCAGTTGGTAAGTTTCTGAATGCTCCTTCAATTTCCTTTTCCAAAAAGCTACATGACACTGAGAAGGCAATGCATCCTGCCTGCAGTGTCTCTTACTGAGAACCAGCAAAGTCTTTTCCAGATTTCTTATGAATTTAAACATTTTAAGCCGACATACTTACTTTAGAAAAGTAGCCAACAAGGTGGCAGCCCTTGACATCATTCTGTGTTAGTACATAAAAAAGAAATGGCTCCACGTCATAATAAAGTGTTTTGTGGTCAAGAAACAACTTTGCCAAGAGACACAGGTTTTGACAATAAATGGTACTCACATTCCCATCAACCTAGAGAAGGAAGAAAAACAAGAAAAAAAGTGGTCAGAAGAATGTCCCTTTAGTTCTAGATTATATATGTCATCTATTACAAGTATCTCTAGGTATCACCAGTTTAGCCTAAGAGAAGTTGTCAGTGATCAAAACACACTGGAACCTGGAAACTATCCTTTGAAATGGCAGTATGATGTTACTTGCTATTTTAAAACAACCAAATATATAAAATACTGTACTTTAACAAGGCAGAAACAGATCAATGGGGAGGTTAGCAATCTGGTTTTAAAATGACACCTTTTTTTTGGCTTTAGTAAAAAGGTTAATTGATCTTCATTTTCAAAAGTAATTCGACAAAATATCTAAATGTAACCTTTTCTGAAATACTTTGTTAGGGTTAGAGGTGTGGCTGAAGCAGAGTGTCTGCCTAGCAGCCACAACACTCTCAGCTCAAACCCCCGAACCACAAAAAACACACAAAACATTATTAGGTAAAACATAATGTAACTGACATCTCTACCAGCAGCCTGAAGTAATACCGCTAGCCCACTGTTATCAGGCACACCTCCAGATAAAATTACATGAGGGAGCATTAACTACTGTGACTCAAAAGCAACAAGCAGCTTCCTAGGTAAGAACCAGGTCAAGATCAGGATCACCACATGCTGTTGCTCCTAACACTCCCGTGGAGCTTGCTCTTTGCTGATGGATGACCACATTAGCTCCCAAGAGTCTGTGTGACATACTAAGTGAACTCCTCAATGATCTAAATAACTTAATATGGCTGCTTTTAAAATACACCCTAATATATGCTTAAATTGACAAGCAATTTGCTTTTGAGAATTCTGAAACACTATTGTATAACACGGACCCAATGCCCCTAACTCTTATGGGTCTTTTACTAGTGAGCTAAAACAGTCTTAGGGGAGACCAAGTAAGAGACTGAGTGGATGCAGACAATCTGAAATTCTAGAGTTGTATTGATTCACAGAACTGAATGCATATAAAGTATGCAACTAATACTTAGCACTCAAAACGACAGAACTGAAGGGTTGGTGGAATGGAGCAAGTGGCAGAGTGCCTACCTAGCGGGCAAATACTGAGGATTGAGAAATCAAAGACCACTATTAATAGCAACACAGAATCACAGACAGCATAGGTCATATTTAAGATTTACTAATACTATTGAATCTATCTCTATAAAAGATTCATTTTTTTAAATAATAGAAATATTTTTTAAATGTCCTATTTCATACATTCTAAGATGTACTTTTTTCACATCCTAACATGCAAAACTGGCTGGCATTTTATCAAGTGGAGCTTTAAATATTATAATTAGCAGTATTTTTGTCTTTTTTAGTGGTGCATTAAATAGTAAGATATATTGCAATTGATGTCTTTACTAACATATAATTTATTGTGAGGTCAAGCTTATGAACTTGGTACCATTTGGGTTGGCCTAATTCTACTTTTTATATAAGCTCAATTATTTGACTTGGTAGTGAGTGAACAATAAAACAACATTTCCCAAAAAAATCAAGTTGGGAAATTAGATGCAGATGACACTGATGTTGAACTAATCAGAAGACAAGTACTAAACATGTATCTTACCTCAAAGACAGAAATATTATTCTTTCGGTAAATCTCATTGGCAGGAGGATGGAACCAACCACATTTCTTCATGTGCTGCTGTAGAATAGTTCTACTTTTCATATATTTTAGACAGAACTCACAAAGATATAATTTAGGCAGCCTGTGTAAATAATAATTAAAATAGGGTTTTACATTTTACAGATCTTCAAAATTTCTTAACTCTTAACTTTTTTTTGTCTGTCATTGCTACTCATGATAAAAAGGTAAGAGAACGTATCATCTCTATTAGTCAAAAAAGGGAAGGAAAGGGAGATGGCGGTAGGGTAAGAGGAAGGAAGGGAGGAAAACTTAAACCAATTTGGACAGTAGCCAACGACTTTGCTCACAGGAGGGCAGAGGTAAGAAATCAAGACACCCAGTTCAGTGCTCTTCCTGTGAGACTAAAAAGTCCCAGTCTTCTGATGTTACTCCATTGACAGACATAATAACCTAACATTCTTTCCCTCTAGAGAATTTCCAATAAGTAGAATAAAGTCTTCTTCTGAACACAAGTAAGTCAAGTTGATTTTGCTGAGCTACAGGTTCTTTCTTCCCTTGTGCTTTGTTTGCATTCATTTCTCCATTTACCTCTCAATTTCAGGAAGTATTTCCTGAAGTATACAAGAGTCAGGCCCATCTATGATAGGTACATGAGGTATGTATGTAGTGCATAGTTAAATGGACATGCAATGTATATTACAAAAACAGACTCTGTGGTTTTTAAGTATGAAATTATAACACTGAGGATATTTTGCAAGTTACGACACTCTACATTATGTCCCTTCTGCTCCTAAAGTTCTGGTTCTATCCCTGGTTAAAAATCACCATAAGAAATACTGTATACCAAAATGTGTCTATTACTCCACAAGTGAAATAAAGGCTCAAAGTATTTTTTAGATGTTCTAATGTCAGTTGCTTCATTGTATTTATTCATAGCCTTACAACTATGCTAGTACTTTAACACAACTTCTTCCTTTTATGAGAAGCTTGGCAATAAAGTAATTAGATCGGCTCATAAGATAACAATATCTGTGGCTTTTACATACATTTTAGTCTGAATCCATAAGACCACAAAGCTCTTCTGTTATAAAATACACCCCATATACCCTCAGCACAAAGTTGACTTCCATGTCCTGACCTGTATCCAGAACTGCCATGCCTTGATAAGCTGAGCTCTGATATCATCATTCAAACTATATGTGCAAAAATCCTGGATGGCAAAATGACAAAACATAATTCAAATAAATTACTGTCTTGTCTTATATTTAAGTATTGAGATGGAAGAAAAAATTTAAATCTTGCTAATTTAGTTGCTACCAATTTAGATAGTTACGCTTAAAAATTACCCTAGAATAAAGAATATTTGCTAAGTACACTAACATACACCAGTTCCTATTTTGAAAGCAGCTTTTGAAGTATAATTACAATTTATCTGAAAACAGCTAACATTCTTCTAAGGCCTTTCCTGAGGTGTGTTTATGGAGCACCAATCTTGCATACTCTCAGATTTCATGCTCAAGTAAGGGTAAAAAAGTCCATGTGATTATTTTTCCTTCTCCTTTGGGGATTCACAATGTGCACTAATTCTTCCCATATAATCTCACATCTTATTTTCAAAACTGTCATTCTGTACACTGAAGGCTTCTGAGAAACTGCTATGGTATACTTTGAAGTGTCTATAATATGCAGTATTATTTTCCAAAATTTCTAGTATTAGCTATACCAACATAACCTGAAGTCCTATCATTGTATAAAAGTTATTCCAAAATAAAGCAATGAGTAAAACAACAAGTGACAGAACAGACAGTATGAAGTCAAGATATGGGAACCAGAGCATGGAAAAGAGCTGAGTTCTGGGTGACTAGTGTTTCCTTTGCTGTCTCAAGCCCTGCTCTTCAGAAAAGGGATGGCCATGAGACAAACATCTTTTCCTTCTTTTACCTCCAGAGCTACAAACCTCAAAAACAGCCACCACTATGACCATCATCAACTAATATGGGCACTAAATGTATTAACTAAGTCTAAGTTAAAGAAGTGACCCACAATGACCGGGCTATCATCTTGAATATCTGGACTTTGATTTCTTCTTAAAAGGAAGGTGGAAGAATGGCAGCCTCTCCCTAACTTTCTACTACTTACCTGTGCTAAATTCTCAACAAACAACTTTAAATTGTCACAATAAGAAGATACGGAAATACTACTATTTGAGTACAGTTTCATTTTGAGGGCTAAATGTCACAAACTAATATATTTCCTAAAATGAGAGTATGAGATACGTAGGCACAATTAATTCTGTGCTTTTAAGAATATTTAAAAAGAAAAACAGTAGCTGGGCATCAGTGGCCTCACACCTGTAATCCTAGCTACTTGGGAGGCTGAGACCAGGAAGATGGTGGTTCAAGGCCAGCCTGGTGAAAACAGAGAGATCCTTTCTTCAAAACCACCAGAGTAAAAATGGACTGGAGGCATGGATCAACCGGTAAAGTGTCTGCTTTGCAATCCCAAAGCCAAATTCAAACCCCAGTCACACCAAAAGAAAAAAAAGAAAAAAAAAAAAAAAGGTGACAGACCACCTAAGCTTAAGCTTTACAAATTACAGCAAAGATAAATATTAACTTTAAGAGCATCTAATCCAACTGCTTTAGGTCTCAGGGCATAGACATGAAGATAAAGTATAATTTATGCTAATTAGCTACACTGAGTCATTTCATAATGTCTACCTCAAAACAGCATGTTGTATATGATAAATACATATAATTTTACCTGCCAATTAAAAAATACATAGTCAACAAATGTTACTTTTCAGGAAACATTTTTTAAAAAGAAAAGTTCTTGAAAAAGAAAGAACTCTTTGACTTTTATCATGTGTGAAAGAAAGCCATTTTTTTATTAAAAAAGTCTAACAGTAACCAACTTACTAGATAAAATATTAGAAGAAATGAAATCTCTTGAAAAAATTACCTCCAAATCTTATCTGGTAAATTATGAGTTCATGCCATTACCTCAGAATAGCAAGATGTTGAATACTTTTATTGGCAATTAAAAAAAAAAACTTTAGTGAATGTTATTATATGAAAATAATAAAGTAAAAGCAAGCATTATGATCAACTTTATTGCAATAGATTTTTTGCTGAAAAGATTTTCAAGGTCCCAGACTGTTATAATCAAGCCCACTGGGATGACATTGTCAATATAAAGGGAATCACCTAAAAAAACAGAGTACTTCCTTTAGTAATGTACAAATGTCTGCAGTTCTCTCATTGAAAAAATGTACTAAATAGAAAGAACACTAGACACCACAAAATGAAATGCACTTGTGGAGGTTACATATACTGCTAGCCCTAAAGAATTCTGCTGGGACTGCTTTTGGTGCTGGATTTTGTGAGACACAGTCTTGGCTGCATATCCCAGATTCGCCTCAAACTTGCTAAGTAGCCTAGGCTTCATACTCTTCTTCCTAATAGAATCAACCTAGGTGTGGGCTTTGCTCAGCTGTACTGTGGGGTGCAGCCTCCATACCTGAAGTTTATTCTAAAGTCTGCTAATGTGCTGACACTCCAGCCTGCAAAATCAGGGCTGGCTGCAGCTCTGTGTAATCCCCTTACTTCTAAGAGTAGTGCAAGTATTTTTTTCCCAGGAGTTCCTATAGTACCACTGGCTTTTGAATAAAGCCCAAGATAGCAGCAGTCTGTGTGACGTTTATACTAGATCAACTTATAGTACAATTTCAACAAAAATTACACAAATACTAACTTACATCAAAGATTAAGGTATCAGCCAGGTTACACATACTACATGGAATAGTGTAAGCTCAGTGGTCAAAGGTTATGACTGTGGTAAGAAAGAAGTGGGCTTAAATGCTAGTTCTAACATGTATAGTCTATATTACCTTCAATATGCTTGCTGCATCCTGGTCTGTAAAATGAAAAAAAAAAATTTGTTCACCTCACAGAATTATTCCAGAGATGCTTAGCCCAGTTCCAAGCTCAATGAATGGTAATTAATAACTACTATACAAAGGATTCTGTTTATTTCCTTCAATAACTGAGATTATGCAAAATCAAATCTGGTTCTAATCTATGCATTGAATCAAGACAGAAAGAGAATCAAAAGGCAAAGGAAACATCTTAAACTACTCTATTCTGTGGGATCTACTTTGCCAAGACCTGCAAATGATCTCACAGTAAAGAGATTATCAAACTAAACTCTAAGCAGCTCAGGAGTGGATGGGTATCCCATGATAACAATTTCTCTTCCCTTTAGCCCATGTATGTCATGTTTTAAATGGTGGGGGTCTATATGAACTTTTCTCTGCCATAGCCCTGTGGAGAAATTCATGGTTAAAAATTCTTTGCAGTTTTCAATGTCTAAGACTTAATCAAAGATTGCTACAAATGAAATATTGAGTATGAATATTGTTTCATTGCTGCTTTTTTAAAAACAGGGATACAAGATTACCTGACATATAATGTGCATACAAATATTTGTATATAATGGAACAATCCTTAAAGCATAATCTTATTCCCCAAAAGATTTTCCCCCTTGTGATCTTTTCTTTTTTATTTATTCCAATTGCCTTGTTTTTGCTTGCTTTCAGATTTAGAATACTTTTTAAGTGTTTAAAACCATTAATAATAAGAAAATAAACTGGTACAGAACAGTAAGAAGGTGTCAAGGATAGAGGTTTATTATTTGGAAAATAAAAGATGTCTAACATTTTACTAAACTAAAGTTTAAAAGAACTCATAATTAAAACTACCACACTCATTAAAGATACATGTAGTTTTAAAAAAAATGTAAGAGAATGCCTATATAGGAAAAAAGTTCGTAATTAGTAAAGATACTATATTAAATTATTGAGTACTTTCTAGTGAAAACCTTAAGGAACCGCAACAGATAAAGAAACGTAGAAGAAATGTTAAAACTTTGCCTGAAGGAAGTTGACGTTACAGTTTTTGTCCTCCTCTGCCTTCTATTATGATTCCCATTATAGTTTTTTTGTTATTTTCTGCTAGCAATGTTTACTCCATCACTTACAACCAGTTCCGTTGTGCCTGGTTCTAGTGACAATCTCACCAGAACACAAAGCAGCAATTTCAATGGATCTTTTCAGTATTTTGTTTTGTTTTTTTTTTAAAAACAAACAAAAAACAGTTCATGATTCTAGTCTCATCATCTCTTGAAAAGCAAGTGCTGACGCTGGCTCTCTACTTCCTTTCTTCCCTTGAGTAGAAGACATAAGGTGCGTGTGATTTCAATCTATTTGTACCACAATACAATCCTTGGAACAATAGATAGCTTGTTAAACAAGCTTTCTTCTTTCTTCTCTATGCTGAGCAGTCTTGTAATGTGGACAGCTAGTAAACAACTTGCTTAAAAATAATTTACTGTGCCTCCTGAAAAAAATTAATCCCTCAGCATATTTCTTATTCTTTTTTTAACTGTAATACTGGAATCTGAACAGCTAGTAAACAATTTGCTTAATAATAATTTACTGTGCCTCATGAAAAAATTAATTCCTCAGCATATTTCTTCTTCTTTTTTTTAATGTAATACTGGAATTTGAACCATATCCCCACTCCTTTTTTGCTTTTTAGTTATTCCATTTAGCTGGCATTCCAGATGTGTGCCACCACACCCAATCAGCATATTTTTTTTGCTCATTCAAGATCATGGCTATACAAAATCCCTGAGGAACGAGTTACCTTGAGCACCGAGTTTTGTAGGTAGAGGAATTCCTGCCTTATATAACACACACACACACACACACACACACACACACAGAGTTATATATAACTGTGTAAGAGTATATATAATTTAGTATCTTAACAAACTCAGCTTAACTGTTGCTATTCCATGTTACAGAGTACTGCTTAGAAGTAATACCACAGTTTACTGTCAGTTCAGGGCTAACTGATCCTACAGTGGACAGTTCTCAATTGCTGTGTTTCATGAGCCTGTATGTTTCTTAGAGTTTTAATTTTGCCTCTTTTTTATTAGCTATCATTTCTTAACTGGGGTCAGGGTCTATAATAGCATCCGTGCTCCTATTTTTCTACTTCTGCTATACACTTGGGAACCATGTTGGGAAGTTACATGAAAAGAAAAATTAAAAGATGCTGACTTTCAGTGGAAGGCCTTTAAACAGCTATATTGTCTTATTCCTGGTTTCTTTCCACTATACATATTGTATGTCTAAATTAATTAATTTTACTAGTATTTTGGACAATGTTACTAGATATTAATTTATTATTTCTTATAATAAATTTTCTTAGAAAACTGTTACTTCACAGAACAATGTGATCGCTATACTACAAATAATAAATTGAAGTATAACATTTTTATTACATCTTGTTTCACTTCTTTTAATTTCAACCCTAAAGGAAAAAATACAACTAATGTATTGAGCACTTAACATTTTCTAAGTGATTTCCATGCTTTATCTCATTTAATGTTCACAATAACCCTCTGAAGCAAATGCTGAGTATCTCCACTTTATAGATGAAGAAACTGAGGCATGGGATAGTTGAGCGACTTCTAAGGTATACCACTTATAAATGTTAGATCAGAGTCATGAAACCAATTTGGCTCCGCTACACATGCTGTCTCATCCCAAAAACCTAGAGAGTGACTAATTTTCATATCCGGACACTCAAGCTATTTAGACATAATACTGTGCTACTTCATTTGTTTAGTTATTTCTGAAAAAATACAGCACCTAATAAGTTTGTTAAATTATAAAAATTTAGATCAAAGGCTATGCATGTGAAACTTTATTATAGTTACGTATGATTGGTTTTTCTTTTAAAAAATTAATGTGAAGAGTAAAGAAATACTTCTGTGAAAGAAAGTTCTCTTTCATTCTGACCATGTGTAACATTTTTAATTTTAAACAACAGCTTTGAACAGATTACAGTAAAGAAAATCTAAAGCCATGTGGAATTAAGTGACTGACAAAGCATGCTGCTGCTATCATGGACATTTAAAAGCCCCCAATTCAGAGCTCTTCTAGTTCTAGAGTCCTAAGAAGCTAAAAGCAGAAAAGGAAAGAGTCTCTCAAAACATACCTTGAGTATTCTTGAGGATATGGGGAGGAGTACCAGGTGTGAATTTCATACTTCCCAAACTCAATGACAGAGGGACAGCGGACTTGTGGGTCAGGGGGGCCAGTCACTCCAACTTTCTGTGTAATCAAGAAATACATTACAAAAGTTAGCTAAATTAAATACACTGACGTGGGTTGGGGGGAATCTGAATCTAAATGTTATCTTTTCTCCTTAGGATTTCATGAGAACAAAAAGTCAGGAACAAGGTAACAAGTTCTGAAATAAGCTGTATTATTCTTTAAATAGAGCATTCAAAGAAAGAATAAAATGGTAATGAATCTCTAAGAACCAAATGCAGTCGGTGTCACTGTACTTTCTATGTTTAGCAACACTGAGAATACTTTTCTCAAGCTTAGTCCATTAATCACAGAAGTATTAAAAGAAAACTGCTAGCACTTAAGGATATAAAATAAATTTTACAAAATACATTTTAAAGAGGAGGATGCTGCACACTTGCCTCAGCTGACAACAGAAGTGGCTTACTGCATGTGTAAGTGCATACAGAAAAGAATGCTTTTCTGATTTGGGAAAGTAAATATTTAAGAACAATGTAAAATGAAAATGACAAAAGAAGTATCAAGAAAGTCTTCTTCAGTTCACTTCACACTACACCTAAAATTCACTTATTAGTAGATCTGCAAAGATTTGACAAAAAAAAAAAAACAACAAATTTTTTGTCTACTTTCAGTATGCCCCTCTTCATCTATGCAATAATCTAAGTACACTATCCAGAAAAAGTGACTTCTAAAGCCTTTATTACTTGCTTAATTTCTATACCAGTAAGTCAAATATAAGCCATTGCTAAAGTCGAGAAAGGTCAGATTTTAAAACCTTAAATTCAAAGGCAATTTGATTTGCTCTACACCCACACATATGCATGCATGTGTGTGTATTTATCACAGATGCTTTATAAATAAACTGACCTAAAAAAAAAAGAGCTACAGAATTTAGTCTCATTAAATATAAGGACAAAAAACTTGATTATACAGCAATCAAAATTATCCTTCAACATTATGTTTTAAAGAGCAAAGATTATTAAAAATCCATTGCTGGAGCCCACAGATATACATACATAAACAAACTAAAAAGATTAAAGATTTTTGTTTGCTGATTCCATATGAATTCATTTATAACAAAGAAGCCTCTTCATCACAACTCACTGAAGAACTCTCCCTGGTCCTCCTAACTGTTCCCTTTCACAAAAGGCCAAGGGATTTATCTCAGGTTTCATGTTGGAATATAGCCAAGTGAGACGTTGAGCTCTTTCTCACACACCTCAAAACAAAAGATCACCACCTACTATTTGGATAATTTGTGTTACATCACCAGCAAGTACTATGACTCCTCCAAATGCAAAAAACATATAAATACACAAGCAGAGGTTAAAATTAGATACCCTTAATTTCTCAAGAACCAAACACAACTTTGTAAAAAAAAAAAAAAAAAAGCGGGGTGGGGGGAAGAGGTTTAAAAGATTATTCTTTAAGACTACAAATTACATTACAAAATCAAGTATTCTAAATCATAAAATAGGATCTTCCCATCTATCATCACAACTCAAAATAACAACAGTAATACAAGAAAATACTGGAATAACCAAATACCAGAAATCAAATCTATTTCCTAAGGCACAGATCAAAGGGGAGATATGAAACCTGAACCATGCACCTGCCGTGGGACTGCCTGCTGTGTGAGAACCTTCCCATCAGCTGTCTGCCGCTCTTCTAGGCGGATGCCTGACGTAAAAGTGGACATCCAGTTCCAGTATAATTGCTTGCACATCACCGCAACTGAGTCTGTACAGAATTAGATTTGTGGCAGATTACCTCTGCCACACCTGTGCTGTACAATGCTCCAGCACATGCGCTCATGCATGTCCTCCACCACTCCCAACTCCCTCCCCTGTGCAGCCTCCAGAGCAAACGTGTTTCCATTCACTGAGGTTTAGAAGTTAACAGGCTCTACTAAGGAAGTAGACACAACTGCATACCTAAACTACTCACTGACCCAGTCCCTACCAAAATGAAACTGTCACTTTGAATTACTACAAGTCTACCTTTGTGAGGCTATTTAAAAATTTCAGCCAAAACACTCACTCATTAAACCCACAACTTTCCAAAGTGGCAGGTATCTAATATAATGAAGAGCACAAGATACATTTTTTTAAACTTTTAAAGCAAGTTCTGCCATTTCATGATCATCTTCTCACATAAATACACCCAATTCTTTAAAAGATAATATAATTTATTTCAGGACAGAATTAACCTCTTAGTCTAAAATCACTAAGGTAGGAGGGTATTAAATGCTCTAAACTAAAAGAAAATCTTAAATATGCTTATTTCTAGGTAATGAAACTTTTTTATCACTAGCACTTCACAAGATTATTATTCTTTTACAAAAACTCAGCTTCATTAAATGACCTGATGCCAATTTCTAATACACAGAGGTCAGTCCTATAGTCCCCAACTCCAGACCTAGTACAAATATCCAAATTATAACTTATGCAAATGTTGCCCTGCTTCCTTTCCCTGTCTCTCCACTCACAGTTCTCCCTGGACCCACCTTCTCTTTCCACTCCCAGGGGGAAATGACATTTTGAGGCGAGAGTATGAGAGTGGGATGTGCCCTTACCAGTAATAGAAGGAAATATGGGAAGAAGAGATGTTTTTCTGGCATTTGAACATTTTCCCATAGAAAGATCATAGTAAGTAATTCCATCCATTAGGGATTAAAAGTCATCTGATAAAAGAGGGATGTAAGAATGAGTTCATGTGTTCTCTTCCTCCATCCACAAGTGGAAGGACAAGAGAGAACCAGCAGTCACGGAGCACATCCTGTGCTAGACTCTGAGAACCTTTTCCATGGTTGTCTCATTTAATTCCCACAATCAATCCCACAAAGTTAGGAAAATACACCCACTTTACAGATGAAAAAAACAAGACTCAGAGGGGATAGGAGGCAAAACACCAGGCTAGAAATAGTAAGAGTGAAGCATAAACATTCTCTCACTGCTAGAGGTGAGATAGGAAGTAACCCTCAACTAATTAATGTGGATTCCAAAAGCTTATGTGTATGTTTTTCCCAAAGAAATGAAGCTACATTCTATAACCTCTTATCCAAAGACTTTTAGAGTATGTTTTAGAATTACAATGTTTTCTGATTTTAGAAAAGGATTACAGTATATACATAGCTCAGTAGAATTTGGGATAACACTCCATAATCAGGCATATTAACATTTCTTTAGTGAAATATATGAACAGTCACATTAACTAGTATAAATAAAGAACTAAACAGTCTCCTATCAATTCAAATCATGATTACCAACAACTGAGTTTAGGTGAATTGAGATTCACTGTAAAATGAGTTTTTTTTTTCCTCACTCTCCAAAGAAGATATGTAACTGCCTTTGCTGAAAAGCAGTGACCTTACTTGGGCCTACAAATTAAGTAAAAACTCAAGAAAAGCTCAGCCTCTCTATCTCCATTTTTGTATGTCTTTGTTCTGAGCCATCCACACCTGGCAGCCACCTTGGAAACCAGGAAGGATAGGAGTAACAGAACGAATTTACAAGGAGATGAAGAAAACTGCCCCTAAGGAAAGGAGCCTTCTCAGGACAGACTAACAGCCAGGCAATAATGACTTGCTTATCCTGACAGATTGTTTCCCTTAAGCAATGATAACAATAACCATTTCTCCGGAACCCCTCTCAACTTAGGACTGAGATAATGACCAACCAGGACACGCCTGTGACTAGGACTATTTAACTATGTATAGCTTTCAGTCCTGCCTACATTCTCTATTTAAACCTAAAGCTCACAGTTGTACTCCAGAAGATGGCTGAATGTGGGTAGAAATGCTAACTCTTGCCTCTTCTCATGGCTGCCTGCCCATTTGTGTAGCACAATAAACCTCCTTTCTTTGCCCTTCACTGTTACTTGTCAGGCAAGCGGTCAGATCTGGCATGTGAAACCCCTGCAATTTGGTCCTGGGCCTTAAACCTCTGGTTTCAGATATACAGATACATATAAGCACATGAAAAGACACTCAACATTACTAATTAGGGAAATGCAAATCAAATCACAATAAAATACTACTTTATACTTATTAGGATGGTTATTATTTAAAAAAAAAAAAAAGACCAGAAAATAACAAGTATTGGTAAGGATATGGAGAAATTGAAACCCTAGTCCCATTGCTGGTGGGAATATAAAATGATGTGGAAAACAGACTGACAGTGAAAAGCAAAAGGGCAGTTACTCAAAAAATTACATGCAGAAAATTATCACATCATCCAGCAAATCCACTTCAAGGTATAAACTACAGAGAACTGGAATGGTGGCTGCCGATGTGTATGTGTGTTGGGAGGGGGTGGTTCTTGTTGGATACAGAATTTCAGGGTTTTGTCTTTTGCAGTACTGGCGTTTGAACTCAGGGCTTTCTACCTCCTAGCCAGATGCAGCTACCTCTTGAGCCATATCTCCAGTCCTTTCTGCTCTCATTACTTTGCAGGAGGATCTCACTTTTTGTCCAGGTTAGCCCTGGACTTCGATCCATTTTAACCTTCCTACATGGTTGCACATGCCACCATGCTGAGTTTTTTACAAGTGAGATGGGGTCTAGCTAGCTTTTTCCCCTGGGCTGGTCTGGAACTGAGATCCTCTCAATCTCAGCCTCACAAGTAGCTAGGATTATAGATGTTACTAGCACCCATCTAGGTTTTTTTTTTTTAAATTTCAACTCTAGGTTTATTCAATATAATTTTGTTACCAACAAAGTACAAACACAACCTTATCTAAAATGCTACAAAGTTACAAAACTCAAAATTTCATAGTACTGCTTGTACAATAAAAGATAACAAACAAACAAAACAATATAGCCAGGCACCAGTGATTCACAGTTGTAATCCTAGCTACTTGGGAGGCTGAGATCAGGAGGACTGAGATTTGAGGCCAGGTAATGCAAACAGGTCACGAGACCTGTTATATCTTGTTATATCTCCAAAAATAACCAGAGAAAAATGGACTGGAGGTGTGGCTCAAGCAGTAAACAACCTATCAATATACACAATGCCAAGGTA